CGGAGGCATCCCGCCGTGTTTCTGGTGCGTTGCTTGTCTCATGGCGGCAATGTGGGTGGGCGAGGTCGGCAACGATGGCCGACTTTTGGCCGGCGACGGCGAGCCCATATAGCTGGCCTGCGGCGACAACGTCATGTTCGATTGCACCGAGTGCGGTGGCGACTGGTTACTGTAGGGTGGCGACAACGTGTTCACCATGCCCTGCGCTTGCCGTTGGTGTGGCGCTAGTAATTGGTCGTGAAAATTTGGCAGACCGTAGTTGGTCGTGAACGTGTCCAGACCCAATTGCTGCAGACCCTGCATGGACTGCCCCTTTATGCAGTCCTCGTATGGGGGCGGCTGCTTCGCCGTGGCTGTGTGACCCACCAGTGGCAACGCGTTGCTGTACAGGCTTGCGCTGTCGTACGGACTCGGTAAATTTCCTTCCGCTCCCTCCGCGCCCTGAGGGATCTCCTGGTTTGGGGGCTGCGCGCCGCGTTTTGCTGGAGGCTTCTTCACCGACGGCTTTCGCCTCACCACCACCACACCACCCTCCGACTCGGGGCTGTTTGGGTTACCGGTAGTACCCGTTTTAGGTCGCTTCTTCGACTTCGTTTGTTTCGGCGCGGAACCGATTACTGTAGGATGAGTGATCAATTGAGGATGATTCGGTGATCCTGCGAAAGGGGAAAATGAAAACGTTAAATAACTGAATTTAGTAGCATTTCTAGTCTTTTATAAATTGAGAATATGTTACTGACTATACTCTTCATATAACTATCTTTAAAGGAAAGATACGAATAATACTTACCCATGAGAGGACCATTCGGTATAACGGTGACCATCTGCGGAGATCTAGGCACGTGTTCGTCAAGCAATCTGACAATGTCATGATGTAATCTTTCGCTAGCTACGTCTCTAGGTAACCGATCCATGTGATCGGTGATCTCTCTATTAGCGAAAGTATCCAACAATGCTTTGCAAGCTTCGAAGCTACCTTCCCTGGCAGCGAGGAACAACGGAGTCTCATCCTTGTCATCTTGAGCATCTCTGTTCGCCCCGTGGACAAGAAGTATATTAACAGCGTCGACATTGTTCACTGCCGCAGCCCAATGAAGTGCCGTTTTGCCGCTATTGTCGGCGGCGTTGATATCAGCGTCAGCGTTGATGAGATCTTCGACCATTCCCTCGGTGGCCAAACGGGCTGCCAGAATCAAAGGTGTAGTGCCATCGTGCATACGAGCATTTAGATTAGTTGCTCTGTTTCTCAGTAGTATTTGGAAGACTCCCATTGCGTCGGCGGCAACGGCCGAGTGAAGAGGCGTTCTACCAGTGTTGTCTTGAGAATTCGCATCGGCGCCAGCATCGAGAAGCCTCTTAGCTGCGTCAGCTCTAGCGTAGCGAGCTGCCAAATGAAGAGACGTCTCGCCGCTCTTGTCTGTTGTTGCATTCAAGTCCGCACCCTGAGCGACCAAATCAGCGATCACAGCTGCGGTACCGTCACTTTCATCTTCTTCTTCACCAGTATCTAAACCTCCACCGCGCACAGCGGCCACCATCAACGGCGTCATTCCACAAGGTCCTCTGGCGTCTACGTCCTGGCCATGTTCTAAACTCGGTGGTGTCAGTACTCCGGCATCCGGTCTGCGTATTTCAGCGGCGTCCAAGTGTTGCTGGGTCCACATTCGTGGTTCCGTTTCTTCGTAATCCGTAATGGCTGTGTGATCGCTGGCATATCCTGGCTCTATGGCTCTCATCCTCTTCGATGGTGGTAGGTCCGATTCGTCGTCCGACCATTGTTGAGCTCGACCGTTTCCAACATCCAAGTCCATACAGTTCACCGATGGCTGCTTGTTCAAGTTCCTCATCTCTTGACCGTCCGGTCCTCTTCTTCGAGATCTTCGACGTTGTCCGCTGCCGCTGCTGGTTCGTAGGAATCCTTCGGGGAACCATGTGACACCCACCGCACGTTTTCTTTGAGCAGTAACTAATACGCCAACTAGCATTCCTCCGAGTACCACGATCACGACACCGATAAATACGTATTTGTAATTCGTAGGGGAATCCGGGTACTCTGGACCCTGCGGCCCAACGACACCTCGGACTTGCTCGATGGGGAAGTTCCGTGATAGGGAATGTTTGGATGCAGTGGCTGCCAGATATTCTGCAGCCTCGTTTGCTGAGGGGAAGCACACTGCTCCTTGAGTGACGGTACATTTTCTGTTGTCGATTTCCAAATAGGCGATCACTCCGTTCTGGGTATTTGTGTAAATGGTGGTTGGACGACCGAAGAAGTTGGTCTGTAAACTGGGTTCCCGTTCTCTCCTCCAAGGGTAAATCATGTCGTTGCCAAGTTCATCTTGTTTCACTCTTAACGTGGTACGGAGTTCGTGGCCGATGTCCCTTAAGAATGCTACTACATTGGATCTGAAGGTCTGCATGTCCATTCTGACTACCACAGATATCACACCCTCTGCCAGTGATGGTGGTTCACCATCGCAGTCCAGACCGTCCCAGTTACACTCTTCATTGTTGCAGCCGTAGTCGCAATGTCCGTTAGCATAGTGTTTACGGCAATAAGCGTCGTAGATTGGGCTGTAGAAATAATGACACAGGTTAATTAATCTTCAATTACCTACAGATGTTACGAATATTGATTAATTAAGTTTTAACTGATTGAAAATATTCATTACTTGAATTTTGTATTAACTTACTTGCACGGGGCGAGTTTCCTTTCACAATCTCTTCCATCGAATAAACACTGAGCGTTGTTACAGACTTCGTCGCATACATCGTTCATGAACACATCCCAACAATTAATTGGCGCAGTGCAGTTTCTCCATGGATTGATACCCAACGAGCAATCATTCCCATCGAAATTGCAGGCGTACCGGTTGCACTCTTCGTCGCAGTGATGATTTCCAGATTTCTCCTCGCATCTGTTCTCCACGCACTTCTTCCTCTCTAGTTCCAGATCCAGATCGTAAGCATTCATCGTCTTCGGCACATTCGAGTTTGCTCTGCCGAAGATACCGCCTCCATAGTTGGGATCATAAATCTCGCAGTTCTTTCCGGTCCATTTAGGTGGGCAATCGCAAGCATAATCGCCGAGGAGGTTCTTACAAACGGCATTTAATTGTTGGCAAGGATTACTAGCACATTCATCCCTAGCGTCAATTTCACAATGTGTTCCAGTGGTACCAGGAGGACAATAACATCTATAGCCAACTTCGGTCTCGACCACTCTGCAAGTTCCGCCATTCAAACACGGTTCCCTGTCGCAATAAGAACCAGCGAATTCGCAGTTGTTTCCGTAATAGTCGGTCGGGCAGATACACTTGTGACCAGCCTGTTTCGCTGTACATACTCCGCCATTCTGGCAAGGTGAGCTATCGCAGAAGTTCACCTTAACCTCGCAATGGCGTCCCATGTAACCAGGTTTGCAATTGCAGTGGTAGTTGTTGATCAACTGCACGCAATCCTGAGTACCTGGAGATGTGCATGGGTTAGACAAACATTCGTTGATGTCACCCTCGCATCTTGGTCCAACGAAGCCCGGAGGACACTTGCACTCGAATCCTCCGACTTTGTCCGTGCAGGTGCCATTATTGTGGCAAGTTTCGACAACGCAGTCGTCAACATTGAGTTCGCAAATAAAACCGAGAGTACCAGGAGGGCATGAGCAACTGAAGTTGCTGATTAGATCGTGACAGGTACCACCGTTCTGACATGGATTTGGCCTACAATCGTCTACATTCAACTCACAGTTTTGACCCTGGAAGCCTTTCGTGCACTGACATTGGTAAGAACCAACCAAGTCCTTGCAAGTGGCACCGTTTTGGCAGGGAGCAGAGTCGCATTCGTTGACTTCCTCTTGACAATAGGATCCAGTGTATCCCTCGAGACAGTGGCAACGATGACTATTACCGATGTCCTCGCAAGTGCCATTGTTGCAAAGATTTTTCTCAGGAACGGTCTTCCTGATGGCTGCATCTTTGCAAGAAACCATTTCGACGTCGCACACTTTGCCGGTCCATCCCGGGGAACAGTTGCAATGGTATTTGTTCTTGTGCTGGACGCAGCTAGCCTGGTTTTCGCAGGGACTGCCCGCACACCAGTCGACGTATTTATCGCATCTGGTTCCAGTGTAGCCGTAAGGACAGTGACAAGTGTAATATTGAACATGGTCATGACACGTGGCGCCGTTTAAGCACGGCGAACTGTCGCATTCGTTAATCCGGTACTGACAGTTTGAACCGGTGTAACCTGGTTCGCACACACACGTGTAGTTATTGATACCGTCTATGCATTTGCCGCCGTTCATGCAACTACTGTCCGTGCAGTCATCGTCATTCGTTTGACAGTTAATACCGGAGAAACCGAGTTGACATTGGCAGGTGTACGAGTTTACGTATTCTTTGCAAATCGCTCCATTTTGGCACGGCTGGGACTCGCACTCGTCCACGTCAGTTTCGCAGTGTTTGCCGCTGAAACCGTCCACGCAGAGGCAAGTGTAATCCCCGATGCCGTCTAGACAGGTGCCACCATTTTGACAAGGGACTGGAATAAAGAAAATAGCACACTAATCAGATAATGTTCATCACATAAAATTCCTAAGGTTTAAAACTGATACACGCGTACAATATAAGAGATTGAAGTGATAATATTTGTACTTACAGGAAGCGCAATCATCAGTGTTAATTACACAATCCCGACCCTCGTAGCCCTTCGCGCAGAGACATTGATAAGATCCATTTGTGTTCCTGCATGTAGCGCCGTTTCTACATGGCGACGTCATTACACATTCGTCGACGTCCTCGTCGCAGAGTCTGCCCGCGTAACCGATCGTGCAGGTGCAGGCGAAGTCAAGGAAATTCGATGATGGTGAACATTTCCCGCCATGGAGACATCTGTAATAAGACATGATCGGTTATCGCCTTTCAAAATTATGTACTAACTACAAAAGCCGTAGGAATATTCCCTGGCTCTGTAGAAAAATGACTACCGCTAACATAAATATAATTCAAATAAAATGATGGAGATGGATTCCGTAACATTATAAACACACTCAAAGAATCTTTAAACCATATGAGACATCGCTGGCGTCCTGATAATCGCAAATACTTCCTAAACATCTATAAGAATGTTTCACCAATCGAATTTCGAAACACGAAAAGAGCTTCATAACTCGTTGCGAGTGTCCTAGTGTCAAGGAAAACAATCGAATAACCGAGACAGTCGTCATACTTGTTAGGGGAGCAAGGATCCAGCTTGTCTTCGCAGTTCCGTCCGGTGTGTGGTAACTCGCAGACACATTTGTAGTCGTTGACAAGGTCGATGCAGGATCCCCCGTTCTGGCAGGGGTTGTTCGCGCAGTCGTCGATGTTCGTCTCGCAGTTGGTGCCCGCGTAACCAGCCAGGCACTTGCAGCTGTACCCGTTCAGGTGGTTGTTGCAGGTGCCACCATGTTGACAGGGATTTGAGCCGCACTCGTCGATGTCCGCTTCGCATCTCTTGCCCCCGTAGCCAGGCAGGCAGTGGCAGATGAACTGGTTGATCCCGTCCTCACAGGTGCCGCCGTTCACACAGGGGTTGCTCGCGCACTCGTCCACGTCGCTGAGACACCTAGCGTCGTAATAACCGCGTGGGCACTCGCACCGGAACCCGTTCGTCGTGTCGATGCAACGGCCACCGTTCGCGCACGGATTGCTCGCGCACTCGTTTATGTCTGTCTCGCAGTGCTGCCCGGTGAAGCCAGGCTCGCACTCGCACGAATACCTGGAAAAAGAGACATCGTATCCACTGAGGATGGAAGAAGTGATGACGTTAGACCGGACCAAGATTTTGCCTGATTAGGGGTCTTAGCGCGTGGGGGCTCGCGCGGACGAACGGGACGAAACGGCGGGAGGGTGAATTTTGCCTGATTGTAACGATTCTTACGGAAATGAGACTCGTGAGGAAATCGTTAATAAAGAAAATTGTTCGCCGACGATTTGAAATTTGTGAAAAGTAGATGTCCTAGGACTTCAACACATTGAACGCCGAAACAAGAAATAAGAACTTACTGCGGGTTCTTAGTCTCTTGTCCTGTATCGGACATCTCTATAATTCCTCTTTCTCTTTTAAACGTCAGAATATATTTCTAAACGTTTCCGTATTCGAACAGCTGTATGAGTTGAAGTTATATTCTCGATCAAACACAGCGTGACTTAAATATAATTCACGCGGCGTTCAATGTGTCAAACAATTGCCATTTGCCGTTTGCATACGAAAAGTTTAGTCACCGATGAAAATCGATGATCAATGGATTCTCTGCTCACCTGTTGATGCCGTCTATGCATCTTGCACCGTTTCTGCAAGGATTGCTGTAACACTCGTTGACGTTCACCTCGCAATTCGTTCCGGATGTTCCGGGTCTGCAGATGCATTGGTATCCGTTTATGCGATCCTCGCATCTCCCGCCGAATTGACATGGATTGCTCTCGCACTCGTCAATCTGTATTTGACAGAGCTTTCCGGTGAATCCTGGAAAGCAGTTGCAGCTGAAGCTGTTCTCTCCGTCGATGCAGGTACCGCTGTGGCAGGGGTTCGATTGGCAGTCGTTGATATTCGTTTCGCAGGAGGCGCCAGTGAATCCTGGAGGACACTCGCAGGTATACTTCGCGATAGAGTCCTGGCAGATCCCGCCGTTTTTGCATGGCGATGAAGCGCAGTCGTCTATGTTGATCTGACAATGGGAACCAGCGAAACCGTTCGCGCAAGTGCATTTGAACGAATTGATAAGGTCGGTGCAGACACCACCGTTCAGGCAGGGCTTAGCTGCACACTCATCTATGTCGACCTCGCATTGCGTGCCAGTGAAACCTGGAAATGAAAATGAATGAATATTAATATTAAGAAAGTTTTAACAAGTAATGTATGTATAACACGGTATTTCTACAGTAAGTTTTGATTTTAACAAGCTTCGATAATGAGAAAATGTTTGCAACACAACACGATTTTACTCTAGAGAATCTCTTACAGTTAAAAAATTAAGAGAATCCTTATTTAATATAGTAATAGAAATGTTTAATGTAGGATACAATATAATAAAAGTAGCATTAAGATTTCTTAGATCTTATAGATTTTATAAAATGCAACTGATATAGTTTTGTTAATTTTTAGGACTTAACCTTGTGTGTTGCATAATACGGCATTTTTTGGAATTCAACTATCGTTATATAAGGGATATCAGCGCTTTGTTGTATATTGGATCAAATAAGAGTTTTAATAAAATTTAGTGCTGCGTTGTTTTATTTTCAATTCGGTGCAATCATTTATGAGGAAAATTTTATTTAATGTCAGTTCATTTAAACGTCTCAACAAAAATGCGGAGAATGTTTATGGGGATTCTGATGTTGCAAGTTAATTTACAATTAAGTAGAATTTCATTTTCTCTTTGAATCGCTTTGTCAGAAAGAAATAGAGATAATGATTATTGTTGAACTTTATGAAAGGTTTCATGGCCCGCTGTTCTATCATAGTGCACTTATTACGTATGCGTAACATTCGTAATTTACTAATCAGGTATAAATGCTCGAAGTACCGGGTTTAGTATCAATGGAATTATATTGACTATTTTATTTCCGAAGAATTTACATTCTGAGGCTTTCAGATCGTTGAACTGTATGTTTCAAATAAATTAGATAATACTAGAATAACATTTTTCCAGTATTACCAGAACAATGAAATTTTGCTGTAACCAATAATTATAAATAACTTTTTCTGTTTATAATTGATATAGACACTAAACGTTTGCATACGTAACAAAGAGATCTCCATTAAAAGTAGGAAAATCTCAATAAATTCCAAAACTGAAAGAACGACTTTGCAACCATCCGCTTTTATTAAAATTCAACTAGACAGTTTCATATTCCAAAAAACAAGGCTGTAACAATATAACAACAATTCTTGAAAGAAATACTAAATTCATCGATTAAAAATAAAAATCATTAGCCATAGAGTTTCAAAGTAACAAAAATCTGAAGTTGAAGTTTCCCAACACAGAGAAATCACCACACATCCTTCTCCCGAGTAACAAATTTTCGATTAATCCGTAAAACCTCGATCCTAAGTGTATTCCGTACCACGCACACTCGTATGATTAATCGAAGATTAAGAAGCCACTGACAAAAAGATCTCTTTATTGATTAAACCAGTTCAAAGCCGCTAACGGTACCGAACAGGCTGGACCCACCCTGGCCAATCACCGCGGGCAGCGTTCGTTCCGTACCCGGTTCTTTCTTGCGTTAAGAGGTAACTCGGAAAATTGCAAAGCTTCTCGGGGGCGAATGAAGTCGTCAGAAGAGGCGACCACCGTAATTAGCCTTAATTAGACGCATACGCAACGGCCGAGACGGACGAACGAACGAAACTGGTTCGGATGGGCCGGTGGGGGCACCCGGCTAATTGCATCTTTGATCGATCGATTCCTTGTGCTTTTTTCCTCCGGGCGTTCACCGTCTTCTTTGCACAGCGATCCCGCCACGGCGATAATAGCGCCAATTATCGGTAGTAATTAGGGCTTACAGATGACTATCCGTTCGAGAAAATTACCGGTCCACGCGGTTCCGATCTTCGACTGACCGGCCAGCCATCGGCGAAAAGGATGTCTTTGAAACTTTGACGGTTTTGGTCGTTAAATTCGCTTTTTTATACGTCGCGGGTGGTAACCGGCGAGACGACCACTCGAGCATCGGAGTACGGTTTACGACGAGGTCGGTTGCAAATTAATCGTAAAATTTAATTAGTATAAATCTGATTGATTATGCGCACCGTTATGACTGGTAAATAGCTGCGAATTTGCGAAGATACGGATGTAGCAATTTTTGTAGCTAGTTTTGCTTTCACTTGGAGATTAACCCGTATCGCTAAATTTTGTTTGTTAAGTATGAATATATTTATATTTTTGTTTTATGTGTCTAACTACCTGTTCATTGCTATCAGAATTATTATCCTTCATTTTGATCTAATACTTTGCGTTACATTGCGAACACTATTTTTTTTCCGATGCGAATGTGTATATATACGTTAATGATAAAAATAGGTTGATCCTTTGACAAAAAAGTAGAGCGAGGAGTTAATACAGTTGGTAAATTGTTCTTAATGTAATGTAATTAATTGTTATTAATATATATTATTAATATAAATAACAACATATTCCTTTTGATCTTAACTCCTTGCTTACTTATATATTTTAATATAAATTTCGTATATTTCATCCCTCCACTTTCCCACGTACGCGAAAACGATGGTCCGGAAACCTTAACCACAGAGTCATTCATGAATAAAACGGTATCATCGACTTATGCGAGCAACTGGTAGCGGCAACTGATTAAGGGACCACACGGCGAATTTTACCGTTCCTCGACTACTTTTCAGGGCACTGTAGCGGGTCCTCGTACGCATCCTGCGGATGTTTCGCGAGTTTCTTGCATCAAGTCGTACTAACGCATTAATGAAATTTCAATGATCTTACGTTCCTCACATCAAATGAAAAGCACTCGTCCTTAACTCGTGCTTAACCTATAAATCGACTCGAAACCTAATTTTGTGAATTCTCTTATAAGTATATTACATCAGAACCAAAATAGTTTCTTCATTTTCATAAATAAAGTGGATTATTCCTACAACACTTCAATTTCCTTCACAACCAATATAATTACAATGAAATACTAATAAATAATAATAAAACAAAGGAAATGCAATACAGTCTTCCGAGATTCAAATAACGGTACAAACAATTTCATCCAAGCAGCAAGTTAAGAAAATTTCCAAAAAAAACATGTGGCAGTAAGAGATAAACTTAAAAACAAGATCGTCAAATTGTTAACAAAATCTATTATACTAGGTTTCGTATAACGTGAGCGTATCCGTGTGTATTTACAAAGGGGCACAGTAACTTGGAAGGAAGATAAGGAGGAGGACTCTTCCTCCTCGCCTTAGGTGGTCTAATTAAATAACGGCGATCTCGAGCGAAATAAATTGCATTAATTACGATCGAATTAAATTATTCATCGAAAAGGTGGTCCCCGGGAAACGGGTCAACTAAATGCGGAATTTATATTCTGGGAACCGCGGAGGACTCGTCTGAAGTCGGCACCGGTAACCACTATCTTGCCAGCGTGTGGTAATCTTCGAGCTCGCTAGAGTAAGATGCTTGTCGGTTCTGTTCGCGATAATTAAATGTACGTATGGATTAATTGCGAATGAAATATGGCCAGGCCAAACGAGGAAACGAAATTCGTTTTGATTTAGATAAGCATGGCGGCGCTGCGCGGCGCGTCCGCTAATTTGGAGAACGTGTCGCACGCGAGACAATGTCCTTAATTGGAGGAAAAGTAATTGCCGTGGTGCCGGTCGCGGAATCCGACGTAACGAATCCCGATTATCGATAGATTCTTTGGCCGTGTATGGCGGACTTCTCAATGGGAGAAAGTTATCGGTCAGGCTGCTTGGCCTTCCGCGTTATAAAGGTTCCATGCTGAACTAACAGGCGAGCGGTTCGCTAATCGTGGTCCCAGAAACTTCGCTCAGATTTTAAATGTAATTATGATGCGAAATAACATTTTACATGGAATATTTTGTAAAGCATAGAATACAATGATATTATAGAATTTATAAGTGGGGTTCTTCTTGAAAAAGGGATATAAAAAATGTGATGTGAAACTGTTATTATATGTGAGTTAAAATGTTAAAATGTTAAAATATTTAAATATTGAAATATTAAAACGTTAAAATATTAAAATGTTAAAGTATTAAAATAAAATGGTTAAATTGATTAAAATATAAAATATAAAAATCATCTGATTTATAAGATATGCTCATTTTTCTGAGGTGTTTTATCTTTCGAGGTTTATTTATGGCCTGAAATTATCTTCCTCCAGGTGGAAGTAACCATGGCAAATACACACTTGCAAATGTCAACAATCGTCAACCGGATGACGCGTGGATTTTTAACGTATTTACATTCGCTTAATATTTCACTGTCTCTTTTTTCCCATTCAGACAATGATCCGGCTAATTCAGTTGTGAACGCACGTACAAGCCGGCGGCGGTTCGCTGCCCGTTTCCTCTCGAATCTTAAGGGCTGCGTATACAACGTATTTATTAACGTCATGAATCATTGAGCAGTGTGCACTGATTTTTTTTGTCCGATCGATGACAGGCGTATCTTTATCTTCGGGGAATTCCTAAATCGTAAATAATGCTAATCGTTAACAGAAGACTGTATGAGTCATAACTATCGGAATCGAGTGTATATTTGCACAAAGTTTGAACGAACCAGTGAAACAAAATGTGTATTAAATATTACAATTGCAAATTTTGTAATTTAAAAATAACTTCAATTAATACAGTTTATAAAGTATTTGATCTTAGGCGATTAGATACTCGAACCTGCTTCAGTCAGACGATAAACTAGTGTCAACTGTATTAAACACACTTTAACTTGTTTAAAATGGAGTAAATTCTCCGATAAAACTCAATTTTAAACTTTATGTCGTCCAAATAATAAAAATGACTTATGTCTGACAATAAATGGAATTCTTTCGCATTTCTTTATATCTTGGAATGTTTTATTCGTATTTTTTTGTCGTCTCCATGCTAAATACTTGCTGCTTATTTACGTAACAAATATGCTAAATGCTTTTATAATTGACAAAGTGTAAATGCATGTGAACTTCAATGAAATTACATTAGAGTCAAGAACAATATAAGAACATTCAGTTCACCGTAACACATGAATGAAAACGTTGTTTTAAGTACCTTCGGAATATAAATGGTTAAGTAACAAATCTCTTTTTCGACGAAGACAATCAGACTGC